CCACCTCAGCCTCCCAAAGTGCTGGGATTACAGCCATCAGCCACCACGCCCGGCCGGGAGTGGCCCTTTCTAATTTACAGCCCTGTTAACCCACATTGGCCATGGCCTGTTTGCAACCCCAACAGCATCATAGCAGCACACGTTATGATGTGTCTCGTGATTATGCCATTTCCTCAAGTTTTACCTCCTGCAACTTAAAGGCAGGTTTTGCAGCAACTTTTTGGTAAACTGTCAACTAGTAACTTGCTGTTGGACTGTACTCCAAGTGAGGTGCTATGAGGAGCCCTGGAAGGACTCAAGGGCAGAGTAGTGAAGGCCGACTTGAACTTCCAGAAGCAATGAGTGGAAAACATCTTCCTGCTACGCCCTGAGCAATACAGTTATGAAGAATAAATAGATATTAGCAGCTTCTAGACTTTTCTCTGAATTTTCATCACGTAAAATATCTCCTTGTGAAATTCTGGCTTGTTGAGGACAAAGAAGATTCTGGAACACAAACCCCAAACAGCGCATCTTTGGAAACCTGCCTCTTTTCAACATAAGAAGTAATCCACACTTCAGGGGCTATCACAGAGCCACAGTTCCACTTTGAGCCCTTCAGAAGTGACGAAGACCAAATGTGGCCCAGTATGTGAGGCAAGGAGGAAGTAGGAATTTCATGCTATTTTCAGGTTGCTTAGTGTACTTTAACTGAATGTGTAATAAAAGCAAATTCTAATAAATTGGTTGTTAATAATTTCCTATAGTGATGTTACCTAGGTTTTCTATAGCAATGAATGTTTCATCGTGTTTTAAATGTATCTTGTGAAAAATTCCAGAGGAAAGCTCTGCTGTCATGAGCACTGATATTTCATCTTAAGAATCCTAATAAGTAGAATTCCTAGCAGCAGACAAGATCTTTCCAGGGCTTCTGATTTGTCAATGTGAAAATAAGGACTTCCTCCCCTCCATCTCCCATGTCCCACTGGAGGGTTAACCTGTTGAGTTGCTTATGCGTGCCCAGCAAACGGAATCATGATGTCGGCTGCTCTCAAGAAGCTGCTCTATACTAATCTGCCTATACACTTACATGTTTTAGGTTAAGTGAACCAAGTTTGGGTTTTATAAACTGGTCACTACAGGCAACTGCATCTGAAGATGCCAACAATAGCGTAAGAGAATCTTGCTTTGAAACCAGTTGTGGGTGGAGTAAAGAGGCACCATGGTGTGGCATTTATGCAATCAGGGGTTCAAATCGAGTTACTTCTGTTGCAACATTTGGTAAGCCGACTCAGTAATCATCGTTAGAAATCATGATGGTTTCAGTGTTCAAACACTATACACTTGGAAACATAAATGTCCATCTTTGATAGTTTTGTTTGTTTGTTTGTTTTGAGACGGAGTCTTGCTGTTGTTGCCCAGGCTGGAGTGCAATGGCACTACCTCAGCTGACTGCAACCTCTGCCGTTCAAGCGATTCTCCTGCCTCAGCCTCCCAAGTATCTGGGATTACAGGCACCCGCCACCACACCCAGCTAATGTTTTATATTTTTAGTAGAGATGGGGTTTCACCATGTTGGCCAGGCTGGTCTCTAACTCCTGACATCAGGTGATCCACCAACCTTGGCCTCCCAAAGTGCTGGGATTACAGGTATGAGCTACCACACCTGGCCTTTGGTGGTTTCGGGTTCATGCCATTCTCCTGCCTCAGCCTTCCGAGTAGCTGGGATTTCAGGCGCCCACCATCACAACCGGCTAATTTTTTGTATTTTTAGTAGAGACAGGGTTTCACCATGTTAGCCAGGTAAAGTTATCTTTAAAATTTGGCACTTAATAGTTACTGGTTTCCCATAGAAAAACATTAGGAATTAACTGTTGCGAATTTTTTTTAAATAGAAAAGGATTTTTTTTATTATAAAATTCACAATGAAATATACATCATCATCCTCTTTAGAATTGGGCTGCAAATTTGGCACCTATTTATTCAAAAACAAGCATTGTTTTAAGGAGAAAATTATTACTGTATTTTAGAAAACCAAAATAAAATCCCCATTAATGAAAAACGGAACTGGAAAACAGTGTCATGAATTGAGCAGTTTTATATGATCCATTTTTTAATGAATAATAAGTTTGGCCTTAAAATAGACATTGCTTTTTCAGATGTTAGCACTGGTTTGACATCTTAAGTCTCTAACCTCTAGCAATGCACATAGAAAGTGTTCCCCCTTCCTGGTGGTGCCTTTTGCTTTTACACACTTTGTGGTGCTTGATTTTATCATAGTTACGTATTCTGCAGAGCAAAAAGAAGCCCCCTGGAAACACAAGGATGGTATCCAGGCCCCCCTAGATTCCTGGGGGATCCACAGTCTGTGGATTGCTCTCTGAAACTGGGTAGATGAACCATCAACCCTCATTCGCAGTTTATGTCACGTTTAGTGTCGTGTGTAATAGAGGCTTTACCTAAACACGTTTTCCAGGAAGTGCCTGGCACTGTGTGAGTCTGGCGGCTGAGTGGTCAGCAGTGTAGTAGTGGCTCTAAGCCAGCCTCACAGCCCTTTCTCATTTCTCGCTCCATCCCCCACCCCATTCATTTCCAGGCCTTTCCACGAAGAGTCCTCAGCCTTCTCCCTCCAGCCGGAACAGCCCCCTGAGTCTGAGCCCTGCATTTCAGGTGCCTTTGGGCCCAGCTGAACAGGGCTCATCCCCACTCCTGAGCCCTGTCCTCAGTGATGCTGGCGGAGCTGGGATGGACTACGAGGAGCCGAGACACAAGGTGGGCCCCTCGAGGCTTGAGAAGCTAGCAGAGGGTTGCCGGGTGGATGGACCTGTGCTCACTGTTCCTTGGGGTGGTGTTGGTGGGGACCCCGGGGTGGGGCAGGGAAGTGCCCTGCACTCACAGCCGCCCTACCAGCGTCCTGAGCAGAGAGGAGGTGCTGGGCCGCCTTCCCTAGCAAAACCTTCCTGAGACTTTCCTCTTATGTCTGGGACCCCAGGTTCCTTCATACAAAAACAAGTTTCCTTGTTCATTTAGCAAACAGTTTCCTGGCACCCACAGGCTCCATGTGTCAGGCTGGGTCCTGGGACTGAGTAGGCACTTCTAGCCTCCCCCACTCTTCCTTCCTTCCTCCCTTCCTCATTTCTCCCTCCCTTCCTCCCTCCTTGACTCCTTTCTTCCCTCCTTGCTTGGTCAAGCTTCTACTTTTAACAATTGAGTAACCGGGAGGAAAGATCTGGGTGCTAAGGGAGGGTCCACCAGGGACCCCTTTGGGTTCTGGAGAGGCTCTTGGGTGGGAGACCCTGTGGACAAGGAGGTGCCCTGGGCCAGACGTTGGAGACAGTGGAGGAGCCACCTGTGGGGAGGGGACAGTCCTCTGCTGTTGTGGCAAGGGGAGGGGTACGTGGGCCACAGGCAGGACTGAGGGTTTATGACAAAGTTGAGGCAGTGTCCCCTGTGGGTCTCCTTTTACCGAAGATGATAGGAATAAGGGCACAAACTGAGAGTCTGCAAGGAGAAAGTGACCCAGCAGAGAAGCTCGCTGCTGGCAGACACAGGGCAACCAGGGCAGGGAGGCTGTGGCCTCAGGTGGCCTCCACTCTCCCAGCCCAGTGGAGTCTGCCTACAGCTACGGTTTTGCAGATGGGCCCTAAAAGAAGAGACTCAGGGTCCAGGGAGTTTGCGGAGTATAATGGGCCTGGAGTCCACAGAGAAGGGAGACACAGGGTCCCTGAGTGGCAGCTGGATGGGAAGCGGCCATGGGGCCTCTAGGAGGGAGGCAGTCAGTGCTGGTACAGGGGGAGGCGTGTCATTGTGACACCTCAGCACTCCTGCTTTGGCCTGAATTGGCCAGAGGATATTCTGTCCAAGGCCTGCCTTCCAGATGGCAGGGCTACCCGTGGGATCCTGGAACTCTCAGCAGGTGGGATGGCACAGGCAGGGCAGGCTCTTCCTTCCCTGTGCCCTGGGGGTCCCTGGATCCCACTGGAATGGAAGGAGCCCCCTGGTCTGGAGGCAGCAAAGGACATTAAACGTGCTGCTGTGTGAGGCCTGAAGGTGAGGGCTGGTTCTGGGTCCTGGCAGCAGACTGTTTCCAAGAGAGATGTCTTTTTATTTTATTTTGGAAACGTAATGACAGTCTCTTTAGTTCACTGTTTCTTCGGTACAAAAACAAAAAATGGCTACCAGGCAGTCTGTTATTAAGACTAAATTTTAATTTGTAACTTTTTATATTATGAAAATCAATTGATTCTTTAGATGGTTCTATAGGGTGACAGCTTGTCACATCTGAGGATAATTGGACTGGTGGCAGGTGGCCCTGGGAGAAGCCTGTTAGTCACGACGTGGCATGGGGCCAGCAGCATGACAAGGCCCTCTGGGATGGGGGCACCTCAGGGTCCTCACAGAGCCATGCCCTTGAGGAGTTGGTGGCTGAGTCACTGCAGAGAAAGATTCAGCAGTCCTTGGGCCCAGCCCCTGCATGTGGGCACCTTCAGCCCTGACGTGGTGTCTCCTGTTACCTCTCCTCAACACCTGGGCTCTGGAGGGAGGGCTCTGGGCTCTGCTTCAATTCTGTGTGTGTGAGCTGACATAGCAAGGCTAGTGCCCAGCACAGGTGGGCTCTGAGATGGCAAGGATGGCCCCTTCATCACATGCAGGGGCTGCTGGTTTGACCCGGAGGTAGGTTTCCGCCAGAGTACCCCTCTGTGCTGACCTCATGAACCAGTGTCTCCAGCCAGGCTGCAACAGGTTCTGGGGAGACCCCGGCCCCAGATTCACTGACGGCTCTGCTGGCAGAGCCTGGCAGACCACTTTCCTGGGGGAACCAGGGTGACACAGGGGTCTGAGAACCACGTGCTGCCATTGAGGCCGCCCGTCAAGCTTTTGCACTTGCACCCAGTTGCTTGGTTGTGCCGGGAGGAGCAAAGAGCTTCCCACCCTCCAGCCCACCCACGCCAGCTTGTGCCCTCCTCCCCAGTGTCTCCCACTTGATGCACCGCTTGTCGCCTTTTTAATAGAGATTTGTGAGGATCAGCAATAGTCGAAAGGTAGGAAAGCCAAAGGTGGCAGAAGCCTCTTCCATGCTCTGCATGGGCACACAGACCCTTCCTGTGGGGACAGGTGGGAAGTTCACAGGAATTGCACGCTCCTCTGGGGCTGTCCCTGGCCGCCCTCTCATCTCTGGCCTGTAGCCCAGCGTACTGGGGCCTCAGGTTGGACACTGATCTGGAGGTGGGGGCAGAGTGGCAGCTGCTGTATTTTCTGTCCCTGAGAGTCAGTCTCCTTATGGTATTCCTTGGGCTGATGAGGCGGGGGCGGGGGCGGGGGCAGGATGGACGGCCCTTCTCTTGGCCACTCTGCTCCCCTGACTCCCCTGTGATCCAGTGGTAGCACCTGTGGTGAGCAGTCTCATCAGCGACTGCTGTGGCTCTCTGATGGTGTTTGTGTCCGTGAGCCTCACCCCTGGAGGAGTAGAGCTGCTCCGGGACTCGAGCATCCTGTTCCCACAGAACAACACTCAGAGTTAGGACATTGCTTTTGGACTCCATGCCAAGGTGACTGTGGCTAGGAAGTCGTCCTTCCTATACCAGACTCTCCCCCAGGGCCCAAGGCCAACAGTTTGTGGGGCATTAACATGCAACATCCCTGTCCCTCAGCTGTGTGGGGAAGGCTGGGGCCTCGCAGACCATAAGCATGGGCCTCTGGGGACGGGACCAGCTCTGACCCCAGAGAATTCACTGGGCATATCAAGCTCTCTCTCTTTTTTTTTTTTTTTTTTTTTGAGACAGAGTCTCGCTCTGTCGCCCAGGCTGGAGTGCAGTGAC